ACACACCCCACATATAGGTGAATGGACARCCTGTCCTCTCTATCCTTGTTTGTTTTTATTTTTTATTTTGTCTGCATCTGGCTGGCTCCTGTTGCTGGCTCTCATGCCTGACTAGCCTTAACCACATCTCCACCGAGACCGAACAAACCTCTGGGACTTAAAATGACCAACTCCAACTAGGATGGGTTTTTAAAGTGAGATTGCTAAAAACGGTGGAAGCCAAATAGGAATAGGAATGAAACAGGGTCTATTGTTGAGCATATGGGACAACCAGGAACCACTCAATGCGATTAAACAACAACAAAAGATGTTTTTCCATCAGAGACGTCAGGCAAACATATGAGGAGTGATTTGCTGACATCAGCAGACTGTATAGGTGTTTGACAGAGAATACTGTAATCACAAATCCATTTCATTATCTCCTCAGTTCATGCAGCAAAATGCAGCTAACTAAACCTTAGCCTCATCCAGATAAAAGCAAGCTGGAGGAGGATGACCCTTTTTCTTCACAGCTAAATGAAAGCAGGACCATGGTGGTCCGTGAACTCAAAAGAATTCGAGACAGATTGTGTGATGACATAAAAAATAGTGCCTGAACTGCTCATCCTTGGTGAATAGAGAAGGTTTGAATCAGCACTGTAGCCAGAATAAGTTCGTGGCGCAGCTCAGTAGGACCATTTATTTCTGTAACTGTCAGAAGTGATGACTTTGTCAGCTCCTTTGCAAATAAAATTGATTTTATTGGAGGAGAAAAAAATTCGCTGCACAGTGAAACACAAAAATATGCAAGACGCTGCCACTGAATTTCATCCAACAAGATGCCTTTTGAGAAATCTTAACTTGCAAAATAATCTAAAAACAAGTTTTTTTAAAGTGTAGAAATCTCAGCTGCTGCTGAGAACTCGGTTCTTTAAGCTGCCCTCTGGATTATAATTTTATTAATATAAATTTAGCTTGTTTGTTTATTTCTAACTTTGGGGGCTGCAGTGGCTCAGTGGTCTGAGCTGCAGGCTCATAACCCCGAGGCTGCAGGTTTGAGCCCAGAAGGGGCATCCGGTGCAAAACAATCGATTAATCTTTAATGAGAGTTCACTCGCTGTGACAAACCCTGGAGACGACAGCAGCTGGAAAAAAATGAACATTTATTCTGTATTTTATTTTTTAGACCAGTCTGAGGAACACATTTCATTCTTCCGTGTCTCAGATGTGATGACAGACAAATCAATTTGGTTCTAACTCTACAAGCCAAAACTATGAGCCAATACTTTSACAGGTCAGTTAAAGAAGTTAAAAAAACTGCTTTACTGAACAGTTATTGCCTTTTTAGTCAAATAATTAATGAGAAATTGAAGTTTAAGGTTGTTAATATGGAGGACCCAAACTGACATTCATTCATTCATTCATTCATTCATTTTCTGTACACGCTTCTTCCTTTCAGGGTCACGGGGGTCACTGGTGCCCATATCCAGCAGCCACAGTGCGAGGGGCGGGACACACCCTGGACAGATCACATGTCCAACACAGGCCATAAAACTGACATAATTAGAAATAAAAGCAGAAACATATTAATGGACCAAWAAATAAATAAATACATACACTTAAAAGGAACTAGTTCAATTAAAAATGGAGAACTTTACATCACGTTATATAATTTCATTGAACTTCACATTTATTTTTTCAGTTTAGTTCCAATAGATTTTATAACATAATTTGCATTTTACTGTTTAAAAAAATAGATATATTTATATTTTTCCTTTTACTTCTACATGCATTTTCCCACAAGTTTTTAATTCCATGTGTTGCTTTTACATTTCTCTGACTCCCGTATTTACATTTCCTTATGTATTTCTGCCTCATTATGCAAATAAGGTGGTTGGTCCTTCTTGGCTCAGCTCCTCTCCTATTGGTTGACAGACAGGAAGGAGCAGGATGTGTGTGCAGATAAACTGTGCATGACTGTGCTGTCTCACTTTAGCCTAAAGTTTTAAGTTTAGTATAAAACACATGCACAGYTAAGTGTTTGCCTCCTTGCTTTTGCTTTTAACTAAATTTTAAAATTTTAATTAATTAAATTTTTAAATTTCCTTCCTGTCTGTTGACCAATAAGAAAGGAGCTGAGCCACCTCATTTGCATTCACAAGAGACAGGGAATTGAAAAAAATAACACATGAAAATAAAAAGACTTGTGGGAATTTATTTTGAAAAATAATTAAATATAAAGATTTAAGACACACAAATGCAACTACAAGTAAAAGGAAAAACTATATATATTTTTTTACTGTAATATGTATATTATATGCCAAAATATAGAATTTATTGGAACTAAGATGTATAAATAAATATGAAGGTCAATTAAATTGTAAAACATGAGGGAAAGTTCTTCCTTCTAATTAAATTTGTGCATTTTAAGTGTTTTTATTTATTTATTGGTCCATTTATATATTTCTGCTTTTATTTCTAATTATGCCAGTTTTGGTCCTCCATAGATTTAATGTTAGTTTTTATACGTTTTTATATGATTTTGACACAACAGTAAAAGCTTACACAGGGACAGGATTTTAAATAATTTGTTTGACCTTGAAATACACAATCACCGTCAAACACACACAGATACACAGTCAGACACGGGGTATCTTTTAACATTTAGTTACTTCCTCAGAACAAATTCACGTGTTATAACCTAACAGACTCCGGGTCTTTCTTGTTATATTTTAAACAACTCACGTTGTCATTTTTTTCCCCAAGTTTCCCCAGAGTTTACTCCTCTCCCCTTCAAGCCTGTCACCATCACAGGCAGACAGGCATCCTGGTGGGAAAACACACACAAACACCCCCCAACACACGCACAAAAATGAGGAGACTTTGACATTTGGCCAGCGATAGGACTCCTGTCGTCTCTGAGAATGCACGGCCTAAACATCAAACATCCAGGGAGGAATACTAAACACACCTCTGCAAATGTGCAAAGTGGAAGWTGTCACGAGAAAATTACATTATGGCAACTTTTTTTTACCCATGTGATTCCTGAGGAAAGCTAACATCATTATGTCTTGTGTTATTCATGAATACGCAGCTCAAACTATCCACATTATCAGAGATTACAGGTCAGAAAAAACGACAAATGTGTTCACATAAATTAACCTCTTACACAAACTAAAACTAGCTCTGTTTTCCCCACAACAGTATATACTGTATGTTTACCATAGAAGACCCAGAGGACTAAAGAAGCAGCTCGACAGCATCAGCTGACAGAATTTGCCGGAGGCTGACAGTTACTGTAACATTCAGCGGGCCCTATAGCTATGGTCATGCTTATGCACTCAGATTTTGGAGCTAAATTTATTCCTATAAGTTCACCTACACTGTAAAAAATAGTTTGAGAAGTGATGATTATAACTCATGAAGAATCAAACAGAAAATTAAAAGCAAAGCAACTGGACTTTGAAACTAGTTGAAGTTTTTTTTTTATGCACGTTCACTCGCTGTGTGGCACTCTGGAAAACCTGACACTGATGACAACAAACTGCATGAGATGACTGTTGTGTAAGCTGTAGATTCACATGAAGCCAATGACCCTGTTTAACCAGGCAAATCCCTGTGGGGCGGCTGTGGGAGAGTGGTTCAAGGAGTCAACCTGTAACTTTTGGGTTGCTAGTTAAATCCCCCGTTCTCACATGTGCAGCAAGGTTTGAGCGAGCCACCAAGCTACTGCAGCCCGAAGGAGCCGGCTTCAACTTTCCCACATTTTTAATTTAGCAGTCAGGGGATTCAAACCAGCAACCTGTCAATCACATGGTTGCCTTCTCAAATCTCCATGCCACCACTCCCCCTTTGAAAAATCTGATTTAACTGAGAACAATGGGCCTCATGCAAAAACATGTTCGCGTTCTTATCCTAAATTTCTCTTACTTTTGTTCGTACAAAGGGTTCGTACGAACATGTCAC